GCCTTTAAACAGGTAATTTGCTATAAAACTACCTGCCTGACATTAGGAAATGACTGTGGCCATTGTTAGGACAGATCAGTGATGAGTGTTGGTAGAAAACAGGAAACATGTTTTCAGAAGGACTGAAGGAAGTAACCTTCATTGAGAGATTGATGTATAGACAGTATCACATCAGTGATTTATACAATGCCCTTCACCTCAGAGCAGGTGTGGGAAGCTAAACAGTCAACCACAGCATGCAGCTGACAGCACACCTGTTGGGGTTTAATCCAGAACAATGCCTTATTATTATTTTTATCAGTAACAGTAGGGAAGACGTATGAAGACTGATATCAGCAGTGGTGTTTCTGATCTAAAACTATGCTCTGTAAATGTTCTGTTCAAAATGTTGATGAAATCATTGCTGCTGATTTCAACAGTGATGAGTATCCATCACTCTTCATCATTCAGATCTTACTGTGTTTCACGCAGTCTTAGAAGGAACAGTGTATCTCCCAACTAGCACAGCTGTGCAGCTTCTCCAATTATGGTGCAAGTAGCCACTAGATATGTATAAGCACAGGTTTTGGTTGCTCTACAGACATGACGGTACTATATCTGGCAACCTCACACACTCCCTGCTCATGGTCATGAGCTGTTGTTCACCAAGAAATAGTTCCAACACACCAGTTGTTATACATCATGTTACCTAGTGAGGTTTAGAGGTGTTGTGCTGTTTCCACCTGCTTCCACTTTTTATGCTTAGCTCTGTATTAACACATGAGATATATATGTGGAAAAGAAAGCAAATAAGCATTTTTCCAAAAATGTTTAACTGTTACTTTAATGTTGCTTTTCAATTACATTCAGCTCCATTTTATCATGGTGGAGGCCTCTGCATGAAAAGGTACCAGTGGAGGTGAGCAGGAACATATTTTGTGTAATTTGGGTGCACACACCTGCTTTTAAAGCTTCTGGTTCACAACAAAGCAACATGTCCGTTTGAAGCTGAAGCAGAGTCATAATAGAGACAGTGATGGGTGTGTGCAGAGTGCCTCATTTTCCCCAGGGTGTTTGGACCACACACACACACACACACACACACACACACACACACACACACACACACACTTCTGTTGTGTACTTTTATCTTTCTCCTCTTCACTCTATATTTTTTCCTCTCCACTCTCACCTTCGTTTCTTTCTTCTTTCTTGAGCCTGCTTCAGCCTGTGGTCCTGCTCTTCCTCCAACTGTAATACATTAGGAGGCTTAACATTCCTGCTGTAAGCCACTGCAGTGCAGACCCAACCTACTGAGCTTTTCTGTCCTCATCCACAGCCCCTTCAGCTTGTGCTGTCTTGCATGTAATTTCCTGTTTGCCTTAGGACTCCCCCACCATCCTAATAATGGACTCCAACATGCATGCTACACGCACAGATTGAAGTTGTGTTTGAGAGTCTGTACAACAGGTATACACACAAACACACGCACACACAGTGGTGACAGCCTGCTTTCTTCTATTACACGTGGGAAACCAACTCCTACACTTTACAGGGACAATATTTTCATTGTCATGCTTTTGAACATTTACTATTTCAGATGTTCTGTAGGTCTTGGTCTGCTGTCCATGATATCATAATAAAAAAACAAAAAACACTGCAATTCATCATGTGTTTACTCCCTAGCTTTTAGGTTTATTCCAATATATTTGAATTCATTCATATTTATCATATTGTCATAAAAGCCATAAAAATGAGGATAAGACCAGTGTTATATTATTTATTGTTAACAAATCCTGTCTGTGGCTTTTAGTCCTACGACCATTCCTACTAAAGTAAATCTTTAAAACAACTCACAAATATATAGTTTCATTTTTTAAAAAGCAGCTGGTCACTGTGGTTTTTAACAAAGGTTACTCAAATGGGAGGAAAGTGTGTTTTTGTTGGGCAGACTGTTACCCCAGTGAACATGGAAACATTGTGGAGCAGCACAGCTCATTTGAAAAAAAATGAAAATAATGATATGGCAAAAAAGTGAAATGATAATAATAATACAGAGTATATTGATCTGTACATGCTTGTGTTTTTAAGGCTGAGGATTACATTTTTGAGTGTAAGCAATCATTAAAAACTGTAAGTAAAGTTCTTATAACAAGGGCCAATTCCATTTCTTATTACAATCATTAATTCCTATATTTTCATCTTGAACTATGTCACACATCCATTGTTTTTTATGACATGATTTTCTTGAGTGTGTCAATAACACATAATAATTGTAATAGTAATATCACAAATAAAAACCTTCTGAAAGAAAAGAGAAACAGACTGACCATACCAGGATCACAGAACAATGCCCACTTATATATAATTAATAGTATCATATAACACCCAGTTTGAAGTTAGTTCAAATGAAGTGGTGGGTGATGTCTGACAGTGAGTTTGGGAAACAAAGGTGTAGTGAGTATCTAGGGCAGCAGGACGGTGTGTGTGGGACTGAGCCAAAATGAACTATAGTGTGGGTTGATTGTGAAGAAAGAACATGTGTATCATTCATTGGTTTTCAATTGTTTTTCTCCATTGTAAGGAGGAATACAATATACAGGATCACGCTTGACACACACACACACACACACACACACACACACACACACACACACACACACACACACACACACACTGGCTGCAGCAGCAGCTTTTGTTTAAAACCTATCCCAGACACCTCTAATTGGCCGGTATTTATCCAGGAGCCCAGGAGAGCAGAGTGCATGCAGGGCTGTTTTCACATGGGATTAACCCAGGTCCAATCCCAACACACTTCACAGAGAAAACACCAACACTCTCATGGCATCCTATAGCAAAGATTGGCCCCCACCAGACTGTTTACCCAATCTGACCGGTCTGATTTGGCTCAGCGTTTCTCAGCTGCTGGTGTTCTGGCAGGAGACAGGTCTGAAGCTGCTACACACGGAGTGACATAGTAATACATCAGCTTTAGAATAAATTCTATGACAGCCTGTAGGGCTGCATTTTCCATTTATGTCACTGTGGCTGAGAAATATTCATGAAAATCAAAATATTGTCAGAATACATATAAAACCCTCCATTTACAGAAACTATTGCTCCAACTACATGGCCTTTACACTGATTACTGTAACATTTAGACATGTACACATGGATACTTGGAAGTATAGATATGCAATATTAAAGTGTAGTAGTGTAGTAAACAACAGCATGTCAACATGTGTCAATCAGGCTCTGCTGTGGTGGCAATGCACTGCCTGTATCAATATGAGCGACAGTTGTACAAAGACTTTGCATCCTCAGTCCCATATGTGGTTAGGGTTCTGCAAAAAAGAAAAAACAAAACAAACAAAGATTCTGGTCTTGGTTAAATGTAAATAAACATGTTTTGTCTGAAATCACTGTGAACTGTTTCAATATTAACAAGGATCTCTCCCGAACCATGAATCAATGCAAATGAAGTCTGCATTTAAACAAGACAGTGATAGTAACATAAAAGACCAGGCAAAGCTTCATTCACTCGCTCTCCAATGCCATCTATTGGACATATACTATATATATATATATATATATATATGCCATTTGAGACTCTAGTGGAAGATTCAAGCAGTTGTAGTTATTGACTTGTGTTTGTGCAATAAAAAACATCCAAAAAAAAAAAATTGCAAATTTTGTCCATGACTTCACATTATTTGATACGGGTGTGTGAATGTGCACCACATTCACTGCAGCAACTGGAGCAAAAATGTGATTTGTAAAACAGGATTTGTGCACCTGCACTGAAGAATTTAAGATGGTGTAACTGTTGTGTTTGTGGAAGAGGAAAAAACAAGTGTGCAACTCCTAGAGCATCTTTTCTCTGTGACCTCAAATTTACTGATACACATGTGTGACTATTTTATACTAATTCCACTGTCACAGGTGCTCAGTTGTTTTGCACCAAAACTTGACCAAGTGGAGGTAGTGGGCGACAGGAGGATGGTGGCTAAGCTTTCATCCCTGATGGAAAACATCTCCCACCCCATGCAGGACACTCTGACAGCACTGAGCAGCTCCTTCAGCTACAGGCTGCTGCACCCATGGTGTGTGAAGGAGCGATACCACAGGTCTTTCCTTCCTGCTGATGTTAGACTTTACAACAAAAACTGCACACAGTAGACCATACACACACACACACACACACACACACACACACACACACACACACACACACACACACACCAAAGACCGACAAATCTAAATCAAAATAATTCATCATGTGCATTAATTCAACTCGTGCAATATCACTTATCCGCTGCTAATGTCTTGTGTTTTGTTATATTTAATCTCTAAATGTACATATTATATTATTATGTAATTCATCTTTTTTTAAGTACTCTGTACTGACATTTCACAGTAATTTCTTTTGATGTGCTGTCACTTTTCTGCTGTAACACTGCAAATTTGGAAGCCAAGAAAATCACAAATAAAACACAATAAACAATATATAAATATTTATATAAAACTTTTCTGAGAACCAATCTTCAATCAACAAAACAAGCCTGCTAAGTCTGATGTTTCATGTCTTTTTTCAACAAGAACATTATTTACACAGTAAAATTAACACATTGTGAATTAGCCATTATCTGACAATATGACAAAACATTCAGTGTCAGTTTTCAGTCCTTTCTATGCTGATGTATGACATTTTAAGAGAATGAACACCTGTCTATATCACAACTCTGACTCATGTTGTCACAGTTTGTATTGTTTCTGTGTGGTGATTATATTCATGCTGCTCTGAATAATGGTGAATCGTGATATCCCTACCTGGGAAAACACATGTATTTTTCCAGATCAACACATCTGTCCAAAGTCTAAATGACACACATCAAGATTGTATGAATCACACATGTAGCTAATAAGTGACCTGTTTCTGACCTGGCATGTCGTGTCTATCACCTGTGTGTTTCCCACTCCTACGTGAGCAGACAGGCATGTGGCCAGAGTATTTAAGAGAGTAGAGGGTTTGTTCAGTACCTTCTGGTCTGACCTCACAGTGAGTACACAGCATGAGTCCATTCATATCTTTGTTTCATGTCTCCACAACCAAAATTCCTCATGGAACTTGTTCAACAGATGTTACAGATGTGGTGTTTGGGTCTGTTCGGCTTCCTCGCTGCAACATCATACGGTGAGTTGACTCTTGGAGTCAGTTTTATTGAAATGACAAACTACATGAACATTATATTTGCTAAGCTTGTATATTTTTTCAGTTTTAATTTCAGGCTAATTGAAAGCAAAGTGATTTGTGACTGATGGTATAATATGTTGTATATCAGCTCTTCATTTCAATAATATGAGGTTTACACTGAGTGAAATATTCAGACCTAAGACTCTATGCCCTTTATGGCTGCACAGTACAACCATGTGCAAATATTCTAAATGTTTATGCATTATTTTTACACATTCAGCACCAGTAGGCCGATAACCATATTTCTAATAAACTAATAAGTGCTTAATTTTATTGTTACTTATGCTACTTTTAGATGATGTAACTGTTTCACTTAAAGTACCTGTTTGGGAACTGATCCAAAGGTTGTATTAGTGGTAGTTCAGATTGAGGTCTTTCTACTGAGTCCACAGTTATGATCACATTTATGGAGTATTCCAGTTATGTTTTGTGCCAGCTGGAGTAGTGAGATAGAAACTCTTACTTAGTCAGTCCAATAAAAAAAATAAACTACGGGCTGCACAATTAATCAAAATATGATTGAAATCGCAATATACAAATCACAGGAGCTGCAGTTTTTCTAATAAAGGTAAAATGTGTCACATTGTTGGGCATTGTTAGAACCATCAGTGTTGTGGTGTTACAGAGACCTACAAATGATATTCTCCAGATGTAAAGGAGTACATATTGCAATTTCCATATAAAACATTATTATCATTATAAGATAATCACAGTATGATTCTTTTTGCTTATTGTGCAGCCCTACAATAAACTATTTGATGATAAAAGTCTAACATTGAAGAGTGGAGAGCCCAGACACCACACTGGGTGTTCTGAGTTTACTCAGTTGATACAGATACATGATAGATATGGATCTGCTGAATGTGGATCATACAATTGTGTAAACAAGGATGTGAATGATGAGATTTAACATGTAAGTGTCAAAGTTGTGACCTTTGACCTTTCTCATGTTCCATGTAAAAGTCATATCCTAAATGTAAAAACCAAGGTCAGACTTAAAACGAGGATCTAGTGTGAATGTAAAATGTACTTATACTAAGTCAATGAGGTCCAGTTCTAGTATAAATATGCAATCAATCAAACAACATCACATCCATTGTGATCTGATTTTTTATTAATTTGATGACAAAACTGAATTCACTTCAGATAGAAGTAAAAAACAGTACAAATCATTTTGAGTCCTCACCAAAAGATCTGTGCGTGCACATTTGCAGCCTGGACAAATAAAATGGTTAACATGTATTTGCTAGGTTTACAGTGTAACCTTGGCAGTAGAAAACTTCTCCTATCACCAAGATAAGCTATCTATAACCTTCAGCTGTTGTTTCTTTCATAGAAAATTTTCAGCCCAGGAAGCTTCAAAAGGACGATATATTATATTTGAGTTGCCAGTATATGATATCAAAACTGCATGTGAGGATTTGTCTGAGTGGTGTGTTCTCCATGTCTGCAGCGGCCGAGGTCTGTTTTGATGGGTTGGGCTGCTTTAATGACCTGGCTCCCTGGGGGGGCACTCTCCAGAGACCAACCTCTGTCCTACCCTGGAACCCCGAGGAGATTGGCACCCGCTTCCTCCTCTTCACCCAGAGTAACCGCTATTACCAGGTAAGGAGTGGTAGATTTAATTATCTATTCTGATAAATTGTATTTTGTTCCTTCAGTAGACAGTGTTTCCTTCCTGAGCTATGGCAGAAGGGTAGTGACACAAAGAGGGAATTTAGTTCTAAACAAAGACCGCAATTTTATTTTTCTAATGCTGAATAGGCTGAAGGCTCATATTAACTTCAGCTGAACTTTAGAAGTATTTTGTTGGGCCATCTATTCAAGATGGTGGATGAGACCACATGTTCTCTTGTTCCATAGACAAAAGAGGGTCAATTAAACTCAGTTCCCCAGAATCCTTCATTTTTTCACACCTGGATGTGAAACCCACCCATGTGCCCTGTTTGCAGCTACTTTTGGTCACTGTGTGGCACCAGGTCAACAAACCCAACTGTGTCCCATTCTGTCTCTCTGGCTCACCCCTGGCAGCAGGAGCAGGGCTCTCTGGAACATGGTAGCTCTGTTGCTACTCTTCTGTGCTGGCCTTGGAGCAGACTGCTGTACTGCACTCTATCTAATCAAGAGTGGACACATTTAATTTAGTGCCAGCGGCTATGGAACAAAGTCTGCCAGCTGTTTGTCGAGCATCTAACTGTGTAAGAGACACAGAAGCCACATGGCTAGACTGGCCTGTACCAACCAGGAAACTGCAGCTCTCTGGATTTAAACAGAGCAGCAGAGAGGACCTCTCTCCTTCCATGGACTGGGTAACATTAACTGGGCCTAACATAGCATAGCACAGCACAGGACTCTTCACCCACATATTTGTAGTACATCCAGCATTATATTTAGAGTGAATCTGTATTGGCTATTGTGTCCCTCTTTAGGATGGTGCCCCAAGGAAATATTAATATTAACTACAGTTGTTATTTAATATTTTTATTATTAATATTTTGTTCATTTCCAATAAATAATAACCTGTCTGTCCCTCATCACTTATTCATTCCTTTGATATATAAATATATTGGCATAAGACAGATGTGAAAAATGTGAACCTATTCTTTAAGCTCTCTGTGTGTTCATTAATGCTTTGCTATTGAAACCGTCAGGAGATCAAGCCTGATCAAACCATCCAGGCCTCAAACTACAATGGGCTGAGGAAGACTCGCTTCATCATTCCTGGTTATCTGGAAAGTAGAGATGAGGACTGGCCACAGGAGATGTGTAAGGTAGGAAGACACATTGTACATTCTAGAACAAAGAACCCACGATGACAGTTTGATGAAAGCTGTGTTGACTAACCTGTTGCTCTGTATAGGTGATGCTGACGCGGGAGAATGTCAACTGTATTGCTGTGGAGTGGAAGAAAGGTGTGAAGTCTCAGTATGCTCAAGCTGCCAATAACGTCAGGGTGGTGGCTGCCCAGGTGGCATCCATGATCACATTCCTCATGGTAAATCCAGCCCGTTTACTGTCTGACTCCAGCGTACTGTAGGTTTAGGTCACACTAAACTTCACATCACACCAGCAGACAGGGTGGACAGGACACAGACAGACACAACTGGAAATTGAGAGGATATTCCCATCTACACACAGCAGTACATGACATTCTGTATGTTTGATGTATGACAGGGTGGAAGATACATTATCTTTGACTTAAATATACATGTTGCATAACACAGGCCAACTACAAGCAGAATGCCAGTAAGTTCCATATTATCGGACACAGCCTCGGAGCTCACGCTGCAGGAGACGCTGGGAGCAGGATCACTGGCCTCACACGTATCACAGGTAAACCTGCTGCAGCACACACCTGATGATGGTCTGTTAGCTGATGTTTGGCCCTCTCGTTCAAGTTAGTAAGAGAAGGTTAACGTACATTACTTGTGGTAGTTGCTCATACTACATTCAGTGTCACACTGGTTTGCACTGAACTAATGACTGACTATTTTAATATGTTGAAAGAGATATGCAGTGTATAGTGGAACAGGAAACACAATAGTAAAAAAGGTTACACTGAGAACAGACATGCACATGGTGAAGGCTCCATGTCTTACGCTTTTTCCAGACCATCCAAATCAATGGCTTTCATTCAAATCTTTTCTATTTTTGTTATTACAGTTTCACTCATTCATTTTCACCAGTCATACGGGAAAACTGTCAATAAGGAGCTTCCTGACTCATGAAGAGTTTGTCTGGATGTTTAGCTACATTAAATATACATCAGGAGTTTATGAATTATTTCATTTTGTGAAACTCAATTTTAACTAATATCTAATATTAGATTGAATTGAATGTGATTACTAGCCTGACACTGACTGACACTATAGAAATTTCATTATAGATTCCTTTAGATTCCTTTAAACCTTTGAAGATCTGTGATCAAAAGAGTATTGTTTTGTATTGTATCATAGTCTGTATTTATAAGATCAAATGATCTCTGTCAGATGATCACAAGAGAAAGTTTGTTGATACAGCAACACCAACAAATATAATTCATAGGCTAAAAGCAACACAAGCTAAATCAGTTTTCAGTTGGCTCATGTTTCTATTAAAACATATATTCCATTAGAATAATGGGTGAATACAGTGCAATCACACATTTGTGCACATAGTAATTTGAACTGTGATGTGCTCCACTCACTGATGGCTGTGCAGAGTTTCACATCATCTTCTGGTCTGAAGACAGATTTTGTTCATTTTAAATTCTCATGTTTTATCATCCCTGTCCCACACCGCAGGTTTATTTTGGCAAACGGGTACAGACAGATAAATGTTTCTGTGATTTAATGCCATTCACTCTCTGCAGGACTGGACCCAGCTGAGCCTTACTTCCAGGACACTGATGCCTCTGTGCGTCTGGACCCCAGCGATGCTGCCTTTGTTGATGTCATTCACACAGATGGACTTCCTTTTGACTCCAAACTTGGTACATATCACTGTTGCTCACAAGGAATAAGATCAAGATGGGAAGTATTCAGTATCTTCACTGTACTTTCTAACCCCATGTTAGTTTATTGTACCTGTAATTTGTATTAGTTTTAGAATTTGACAGTACTTAAAGAACAAAGTGAAAAATAATGTTCTGTGCTATTAAAACAGTTCCAGTCAGTTTCAATTAAACTGCCTAATAGAGTTAGAATAGATTAAATAAATAACTGAGGTGCAGCTCTGTACAATAAGTGATCTCTGTTTCAATCCTCTCAGGTCTGGGCATGTCACAATCTGTGGGCCACATTGACTTTTATCCCAATGGAGGAGGACGGATGCCCGGCTGCTCTGCCAACAAAGGCAAGCCCTCTGACCTGGATGCTATCTGGGAAGGTGAGATCAACAGAGACGTACAAACTTTTAATTTAAATGCAATGACACTGAAAATGATTTTGTTATAGTCCCACTTTTTCTGCCACCCAATCAAAGATCAACTTCACACTCAGTCAAGGTAGTTGTTTGGATTTCTGTCCATTGTTGTGTCTAATTGCAATTTCAATAAAACTTGTATAGGCTCCAGACTTCTGATTATTTTACCGTTTATGTCCATGTGTTCTGGATCTGTACTGACAAACTGCAGAGATACTGAGAGCAGCTTTCTCTCCTTCACATTAGAATTAGAGTCTAATGACTTGAAAACATTATATTTGAGTCACATTGTTATGGAAAAAAAACCCAATTAGAACAATTTTCAGTCGCAACAGCAGCCTCACATCCCCATCCAGTAGCACTCTCTCCTTGGAGAATACATGTATATGCTACAAGTTGGTGTCTTGATTATGTTTAGTGGCACTGCTTTTGCAAGTGAAGGAAGTGCAACGTTTTTATACTACATGATCTATGTTGGTGGCCAGGTAAATCTTATCTCATCTTCATCCATGAGTCTCTATTTATGCAATATCTTTTGGTTTGCAGGGTTACCCAAAAGCAATGGGGGCCCCTCATGGTGTTTATGGGAATTGCATTATTTTGCTGGTTCGGCTTCATAAGAATTAACAGTGTCACCAGACATCTGACATCTAAGATGGTTATTGTTCGGTGTCAGCAAATTAATCTGCAAACCTTATTGTAGGCAATGTACAAGGCAGTTCATTAAACATAATACAAGAAACATCAGGGTCAATTAAACAGTCATTCACAATAAAATTTCAAATGATTTAATCTGGTTGGTCTAAATCCCCTCTGTTGTTAAGATCCATAGTTTCTCTCATGAGAATAAAATAAACTCAGAGGCATATGACATGACCTTTGATCATTCTGCTCCACACTACAAATCAAGTGTTCTCAAGTCTGCAGGCTTCATCCCAGCCACTCCTCCTATACATGACACAATGAGTCATACATCCTATTTTTTCAACCATGCAACTTACAATGCAGACCCCCACTGTGGAATATTGGAGTTGTCCCAACGGAAAAATCGTAAAGAAACCCCCGGCAGAGTTATTCCTGCTGGTCCCATCTGAGCAAATATTTTCTAAAATGAATGACGACGGCCTTCTTTTGAAATGTGCTGGTGAGTAGCAAGGCTCAAGTGGCAGCATTGGTGCCATGCCTGGGTCAGGGGTGGGGGTGGGGGGGGTGTTGGCACAGCTGAATATGCCACTTTTGATCCTATAGATAAGAGAGGGAGAGTGGGAGCCAGGGCTGCATAGCTGGAGTTCTTGGAGCGCCTGGTGTTTGCCCTGTACTGGAAGAGAAAACAACAGAAGCCATGACCTCTCTCTATCTCTGTCTCTAACCAGCTCTAGTGATTTAGTATCCTTGTAGTTAATATATAATATAATATAATTCTCCCCTCCAGCTGACAGCTTCTCTCTGACCCGTCAGCTGAGATTCAAGACCTGAATAAGCATTCACCTCTCTTCTCTTATTCCTCCTGACTTCACCCTCCCTCTCACTTCTCTTCCCTGTCATCACCTGATCCAACCTTTTCCCAGGTACTGTGAAGTTTGATGCCTGCAACCATGTCCGAGCCTACCAGTACTACAGTGAGAGCATCGTTAAACCCCAAGGCTTTGTGGGATTTCCCTGCTCTGATGAGAACAGTTTTGCTGTTGTAAGTCTTTGGTTTTTGATGACTCTGTGAGTTTATAAATATCTAAATGCTGAGGAGCTTCTGAGCTTACTTTAAAAGAAAAAAGAAAAGAGATACTGTCATTAATAATCAGTGTTGAATATGCAGTGTCTTAGTATTGTGATTGTCTTCCTTTACATTTTGCCTGGCATTATCCTTGGAGGAAGAACTATTCAAATCCTTAACTTGAGTAAAAGTAGCACTAAGAAAATGTGGAAGCCAGACATTTGGCTTTTTTACCTCTGGTAAATACAAAAGCACCTTTCAGATTGTGAAATTGTTGTATACAGTACAGGATATACTTATATTATTGTTACATAATCTTATCAAATCATGTGCATTGACACATAAGCAGCTTTGTTAAGTGACTGGTTGAAGTGGAGCTAATTTATGTAAACTCTTATCTCTTATCTCTATCTGCAAAGTATAGCAGGCTAACTCAATCTGTCAGATAAATGCAGTCTGCAAATAATAATGTATGTACATTATACATTTATTATATTATATATACATTATACATTACATTTCTGTATGGATTATAGAAGAAGTCAAATATTTTTGCCACCAAGTCATGAAATGAACTTGGAGTAGTTAGTGCAGAATGAGATATACTTCTTTTGCAGTCATATATATGAAGAGTTAGGTGGATTTGTAAAAATGTATTGTAGTGTCATTTGCAGCTCTAAAGGCCCCAGAGAAGCTTCTGGTGGTAGGGGTCACAGATAAGGGATCTGGGGTAGGGATAAGTACTCATTTTAAAAAGTGACTCAGGGCTATCAAATGGGCTCAGACAGGGGGGTGCTGGAAAAGAGGCCAATATCTCCAACCCCTCAGCATGTGTATGGGATTGCCACCTGTTGCTGCTGTATGATACTGATATGGCTATGAACCATTTCTTTAGTTTTGAAGTCAGTTTGGCAAAATTGGATTTTGTTGCAGCAGAGGGGGCGATGTAACTGGGCTTCCCTCATGTCCTCCGTGGGGAGGGCTTGTATCTGCAGCTGTTGGTGTTAATGACAGTTTATCCCTGCTCTAGACACATGTCCCGATCAAAAAAGGTCCAGGGAGTGCCAAGCATGACCTCATATGACTATGTCCCTGTTGAGAGATGACAGCACCTCCTTGTCATTCACCTCATAAACACTTTCTGGTGTTATTCCTGCAGCCATAGCTGACAGCCACAAAGTCAGTCTGTTCCCACACAGTAACTTACTGCACAGCCATATTTATAACGTGGCAATCTGCAACATTTTGGAGGACCACAGGAGGAAAAGTCTTTTAGGGTTGTCACTTTTCCCTGACTGTTCATTGACAGGAGAAGATCTTCACACTTGGCCATGTCCTTGTCTTCACAGGGAAAGTGTTTCCCATGTACAAACAGCCAATGTCCTCTGATGGGCCACTCTGCCGACAGGTTCACTGTGACTGATGGCAGTTCAAAGACAAAGTACTTCCTGAACACAGGCAGTTCAAAGCCTTTTGCCCGTAAGTATCCTGCCCTGGCAAAAATAACAGTGTGACCAACATATTGAAACTTTTTCACATCATTACGGCTATATGGGCTGGAACAATTCTCCAATAGGCTCAGAAAAAATCCCTTCAGGTGAATATGGGTAAAGTCTAAAATACATTGTCATCCCTGAAAACGTAGGCACTTTTTCTAATGTCATGAACAGTTCACCTCTTAAGATGATGCCAGGAAGTTTAAGTTTTATCTTGCCTCCAAGTTAAACTTTAAAGCTTTAGGTTTTAAAGGTTTTTAAGCATTATTATATTTATTATTATTAAAAGTAATTTCACATTTTTAGACCACAAGAGTGCAGTGCATGCTAACATGACCTGCTGGGTTAATGAGTAACAAAAGCAATTTACGCTTCATTATATTTCCAAAATATCAAGTTGTTGGCTATATACAAGTATGAATAATCATCAATAATCATGATCTTAATAATGGATGAAGACAGCTACAGTAAGCCCCAAGGGGAAACAATTTGTCATTGGTCATTGCCTAAAGCAAGCTAAACTTTGCACTCAGTACTCAAGTGTGTTTGGATACTGTCAAAGGTTGTTATGCATCCACTTCAAATGCTTTTTGGTTGTATGTAAATGCAGAACTGGTGAGAGATCAATAGTACAAGCTTTTGAAGTACAAAGGTGTTTCCTGGAAGCAGTGGACCATGTAGATGCAATATATATAAAACCTGGAAAAAAATTAGTAGAAAAGATTCATTTGTTTCAAGGTTTCACTGCAAAAATATGTAAAAACTGTCTAGCAATATTTTCTCCTGTGTTCTTTGATAACCCTCACTGATGTATCAAGATGTTATAACACTACACCAGAACTACAGTGAAATAATGTGACGGCTGCCTATTTCTTCCCATTTCTAGGTTACAGCTACAGAGTGACAGTGACCCTGGATGGTCCGCGCTGGCCTAACCCAGGATTAATGTATGTGGCACTAGCTGGACACAGTGACAGCACCAAGGAGTACCAGCTCTATGTGTAAGAATGTCATGCACTGTTCTGTGGAGCTCACTATGGGGTTTTAGTCTGTGTGATGTCACTGAAGAGGGCACATCTCCTTTGTTAAGTCTGTGCCTCTTACTGTCAAATGTGATCAAAAGGTTGCACTGAAAAATGAATGGTGCCATCTTAGGGTTGTCGACCCTCAGTCCTTGAGGAAAAAGATGTTTTTTAAATGCATTCTCACTCCAAACACTGTAGAAAACCGGGACATTATGAGGCTGGAGTTTGGGATTACCATTCACCACTCACCACACCTGGTGCAGCAGAAATATGCATGGGTGGAGTAGATCATGCTGTACTTCTCAGTATGCCTTCCCACACAGTGTAAGATTTTCTGGAGGGCCATCTAGTGGCTACTAGTAAACTGCAACAATACCTAAAGCCTCTGCTCCTGGCACATCAGGCAGAGATGCTGTAGGGGAGGAGATGAAGGGTAGACCATTGACTGCAGACATGACACCATCAGTCAGTATCTGAAACTGAACAGATCTGTGATCAGACAGCAGACAGTTACCTGATCCTCGGGCCTGGTCAGCGGAGAGTGATACACAAACCAGACAAAAAACTGCATAACATGACAATGAAATCTGCTCACATGTGGTCTGCTGGAGAGGCTGATCACATAGGAGAGAGGAGTTAGATTGTTACTGTATATTATGTGTGTATACAGGTTAGCAGAATCTGTGATCTCTTTTAAGTCTCTTCTTAAAAACTTACTTTTAATTTTGAGTTTTTTCTTCTTTTACCTTTCCTTAAAGTGTTTTATTTCTCTTAAAGTTACTTTGTGCTGTTTTTATACATCTGATTGTTTTAATTGTTTTATCTGTTATTATTCTCTTTGAAATCTATTCATTTAATTGATTTTATTACACAGATTTTGAAAAGTGCTAGATAAGTAAAGATGAGTTAAAATCACATCACCACATATCTCTGTTACAGTAATGAAGCTCAGGTTATAATGTCATTTTTTTTTAAATGAATGTGCTCCTACATTTGATGAAGTGTGTTAAAGTGTGATCTGTGGGGACATTTCTCTAGGGGTATTCTGGTGCCTGGAAAGACCTATGAGATGCTGGTTGATGCTGAGGTGGACGTGGGTGATGTGATGGAGGTGAAGTTCCGGTGGAACAATCACATCTTGAACCCATTGAAACCCAAGTACGGAGCAGCTAAAGTGGAGCTGCAGAGAGGAAGGGACAAGAAGATGTAAGTTTGTCTTTTCTGTGAAGATGAGTGCCAGGTGGTTTTCTGCACACCTGCATGTGAGATGTTAGAAGAGTGAAAATTAAGCATAATGTTAAATACGTACAAAATGTTCTGATTAGAAACTACATTTATTATGTGTTTCCCAATGAAATTAGAGATAATTTGTAAATAACTGATCCTGGTCGTAATGAGTCAACAGAAAACAGACTTACTGAGGGAAGTGAAAGCTGAGGTCTATAGAGATAAAATGTTTAACAAATTGTTCTTGTCCATGAAAAGAGCTATTTCCCTTTAATGGAGAAAAATTTATAGATTGTTGAAAGTGCATTTATACTGTAAGTGGAAATATATGTTTTTTGTGATAATTTTTTTCTCCCAAAGGAACAGAGAAATGCAAACATTACAGTTTATATCAAAACAAGCAGTAATTATAAAAGTCACAATTGAAAATAGTGAATAATTTTGAGTAAAAATGATGCGAATATATATACATAATACCGATGATGGTAATTAAATCAGCAACTTTTATTATTACGGATTTAATGGAATTCTCACCCAAAAAACTGCAGGTAAACAATCTATAGACTTAAGTAAAAATATAATAATATTATTATTTATTATTATACAACTATTTAATCAGTGAAAGGTGTTCATTTCTCACTCTGAACTTCCCAACTTTTCAAAAAATTTTTCTCTCTGCCCCCCTGTCTGTCTACATTCCCCATTGAATTATATCATGTATCATTTGTCTCCAGAGAACCAAGCTGATATTTGCAATACATCTCCAAGTGGTTGCATGAGGAATCACAGGATGGGCATGGGGAAATATTTTCAATGAGCCCTTTCACCGTTGGGAGTTCTAGTCTCCACTTAAAATCTATAAAAGTAACAGTGAATGAAAATTAAATGAAAAAACTTTTTTCCCTTTAAACATATTTTTCTTCTCCTCTTTGAAACCAAATATGTAGAAAACTTTTAAAGTGGAAACTCTTCCCTTTGCCACATTACTACATTATCACATTTAGCAGATTTGATGATGACAAAATAATTGGTTATACATCAAATGAGGAAATATTTGTTTTACATATTATGTGTTTTAAATGCTATATAGACAACACATGAACAAATATAAATCCATTTTGTTTGCCAAAAAGTCAAAACATAGACTGTATGTGGTGTTCCTGATGTTTGGGGTCAGTCAGAGCACACAGAGGTTGAAGTCCCTGTTAACATTATGTGAGAAATTCAAATAGAGTTACATGAAGTTTGGGGTTAAAGGAAAATGTAGACAGAGCTGGGCTGTGTTTGGACCAGCTGTAGCCACTAGAGGGCAGCATGGGACTGCCACTAGTGCCATCTAGTGGTAAAGGCTGCTGGGGGTTGGGGTTGGGGATGAGATGATATGGTACAGTACATCCTGAACATTACTGTGTTATCCTGTGATACTTTGTTTCATAACTACCAACAGGAATAAAATGTAGTGATGTGGAAAGATTTAGCTTCTCCTGGAACAAACCACACAGATTACAAACAGTCAGTGAATATAAGATTTATTCTTCAATATTGACATCAGTACATTAGAAGAGATTAACACAATACTTCAACCAAAATATTCCTTTAGACTCTGTTATGTAATGTCTCTGTCTCTTTTTTCTTTTCTTCCTTCACAGGTTCTTCTTCTGTGGAACGAACAATGTGGCAGAGAATGCAGTCCAGTCTGTGCTTCCATGCCAATAATAACCTAATCATAATCACCATGTCACTCAGGGTCTTTCAATAAAGATTTTGCATTCACACACATTTTATTTACAATTTTTTATTATCCCAAAGGCATTTAACAAACTGTATCGACAACTTTACACAGCAACACTGTTATTGTGAATAGACCTTTTTTGTCTGTGTGTACAAGCTGTACACATAAAAGATAAAAGATATACAAATAAAAAGAGAAACCAACATAAAGTGTCTCAGTAAGATGCTGTCTTCAGAGCAGCTTCACTGCTTCAAGTCTATGAACTCTGCTGGAGGATGAACCATTCTTCATAAAGACATTCCCCCATGTGGTGTTTTGATGATGGTGGTGGAGAGCTCTGTCTAACACATTGCTCCAACATCTTGCATAGTTCAACTGGACTGAGATCATGTGATTGTGAAGGTCACAGCAGATGATTCAGTGACGCCTATAACCTTGGGATGGAGACACTGTCATCCTGGAGAGACCCCTCCCATCAGAAGAGACATGTTTAAAGGATAAAGGTGATCACTCAGCAACTTTGTGTTGATCCGTGGTGACCCCTCCCTTTAAGGGGACAAACCATGGCAGCAAAATATATATAATATAATATCCCTTTGTGTGTAGCTGGGATCAGACTACTGTTGCTGACTTGGTCTGATCATGTCCTGCACTGACATTGTCAGTCACCTGAGGAAGAGCTGCTCTCCTGTTTTTCAAATCGGACTACAGTAATGTACGAGCATCACAGTCATCAGATGTGTGACCCTTGATGTCTTTCCCATAGATCTAAATGCAGATGTCACTTCAGTCACTGTTCCCACTGAAACACCAGCAGTATATGAGCACCTCCAACTGAAGCTCCTACCTTTCACCAATGAACCCTCTTTCAAAGTGACTTTCATCTTTTCCTCTTTCCATCTTGATACAAAATCATACATGCCACAGAGCATGACGGGATGGTAATTACTTTTGTTGCGTGTCTCCAGTCATTTATTCAGGTTTTCCCTTTAATTCACCCGTCTGTGGATTAAAGCTGCAACATTTGATTAATCAATTATTCATATCATTCAACTGTCTTGTGTGACCAACAGTCCAAAATTATGATGAAAATATGATTATGATTAATAATATTATTATGATGAAAATTGTGGGATAATGCAGTTTTCAAATCAGAAAACAATAATTACACTCACTCAAGTTAACAATGTGCAAACACTGCAAAAAATTGTGAGCTGCTATGAAATGAAGGAAAGGATCTTTAAGTGCAAGTTTATAATCTCCACTCATTATTTATCAGTCTATGTAGGAGACTGAGAATTCACATAAATTCACATAAAACCATCTCTGACAAGTCCCCCCTACTGTGTAGTGTGTGTTATTACTGTCACTTGAACAGGCTGAACTACGAGGGATACTTCACACACAACCGTTAAATTCTCTTGTCCTTCTCTTCAAAACCGACTGTTCCTCACTGCCAGGGCCTGTCAGGACAGGGAGAGAGGATAAATGTTACCTTCATTAATGTTGAAAGACATCAGGCTCCATTTGTGCACACACAAATCAACAGTAAATTACATGGTGAGAGCACTGCTTTCTCCTGCTCATTTGGATATGGAATGGTCCTGGACAAAATCTTGTCTAATGTGTCACATATATCTGTAATTCCAAAGGGCTGTTGCATGTACGTGTATGAGATAGTAAAACAAGTTTGTGTGTGTGCGTGTGTGTCTGCAAAGCACTTATTAATCTGTCTGTGGCCTTTCGTTGGCTTATGAAGTCCTGATTGTGTGTCATTGTTTGGCTTCATTTATTTGAACACACACCCCGTAATCATGCTTGTAAATATACGGCTTTAAAAAGGCGAGCTGCCATTTTCATCATGGCACTAACAAAGTGCATCTGAAATCACTCTGACTTCCCTTGAGCTGAGCCATCAGTGCTCACACAATACCAATCAGAAGAAAAAACTCTTGGCTTCAAAGCTTCAAGCTTGACTACATTAATAATATTAATAAAACAGAAAATTGAATGTGTGGGCCAAGAGGTGGGGTAGAAAGTGTCTTGAAATCCTCTAAAGACATCTGTCTTTGTCTCTGACTCGTTTCTCTTTTCATTATTGGCTCATTGAAAGTGAAGGCTAATGACAAAATAGCGGGCTAATTCCTGTAATTATGTGCGTTTGTCAGAGGAAATTTGCAAATGACAGCACTTCTTTTTCTGATCTTTAAGCCTGTAGCTTCGGGGGTGGCATTGTTACTAACAAAGCATTTATAGACAGGTCAGAATTAGTGAGGTATAGATGTAGGTGGCAAGAGAAAAATAGCTCCCCTGGGGAATGCTTGCACAACAAACTTAACCCCTGGTGGTAAGGTGCATTGTACTGTCGTCAAGAAGAATTCACAGGCTCATTGTTGCAAAGTTTGAGCAAAAGCAAGAAACAAATGTCCATCAACAAGGACGTCACCCAACATGTTACATTCTGTTTAATGTAAGAGACTATGGTGAAAGGAACAGAGAGACAGTGAACTGCAAAAGGGTTTTAAGGATTTCACTTGTTCAGTCTTTCCTGAAGCTGTGAAGAAAGACTAAGTCTATTTGACCGCCATAATAAAAATATTTTGAATACCACAATAATGTTTGACCTTCATAATAAATGGATTCAGCAGTAATATGAGAGTACACAAAGGAATCTATTATAGCAGGAGCAGGAGGGAGGCTGAATAGAGGCACATGGTTCAAACAGGGGTCAGTGCAGTCTTTTTAAAACAGATACTGACTTTTTACCGCTGAAGCTGTTTTGTGCTGATATTCAACTATTTGAGAAGACAACCGTTGAAGTGTTTTGAAATGTTTTCACGGATGATACTTACATCAGCTACCCTGGTTTTATCTGTATTTATCTGATGTTCTATCTGAATATCTTTATGAATCTTCAGGATCAAATACTTTTGCCTGAATCTGGAGAAGTAACTAAATTAGTTAGGACAGTAAACTGCTATAGTTTTAGTACAGAAGTAGAACAAATATGTTAGCTCTCATTCACTGCTTGTAGTCCTGGATGACAAAAGTTCAGAGAAGTGGCCATGCATTCTTAATCAGAGGTTTCACAAACCGAACAGTTATTCTTCCCTAAAGTTTCTCTCTTGTCAAACTGAAGCATATTGTTTGCAAACACTTCCAATAAAGCATGTGGCTTGCACAGGTTTGTTTTTGAGTATGGAATGGTCTCATTGTGGCTGACGCACCAACCTTCACAAAAACTACTGAACTGATTTACACCAAACGTGGTGGAGGGATGGGGCATGGGCCAAGGAAGAATCCATTAAATTTGTTGTGAGTCAAACCAACACTATTCCACTATTCTGAGTCCACCAACATTATTCAGTACGAGCAGGTTTTTACCTTGTGTCTACTGCAGAGTCAGAGTCAAAGCCCAATGTTAGTGGGTCTTAGTAGGTTTTTCAACCAGTGGAAAAGGGGCAATTGAAGCTAAACAAAAGGGTTCTTTTACACCTCTGGAGACAGCTGTTAGTGAGTAAATGAATGAAGTTTGATGCTGAATTCATAACGTTTCTTCTAGACTGGTGAGTAAACAGCTGCTAATGCTAATATAAGCTATGTAGCAATAGCAAAACGTACAAATAGCTCCTTTAACGTTGCGAGATCCAGATGATAATCTGAAAATAATGAATCCACATTACACACAGAGTTGTACCTATTATTAATAACAAATAACAGCAGAACATGTGCTGTGTGGAAGACCTCACGTTCATGTGTAGGGCCACATTGCAAACGTGATGCACATGAACCTGATGTGCGTAAGGCACCAAGTCAGTCTGAGGAGAATAAAGTACCCTGTCATCTGACAGTGATTTCCAATCAATATCTGACTAATAATTGGTAAGACAGGGAGAGTGCAATAAACAATGTGACAGAAAAAGGTCGCTGACTGAGCAACCTCGTTTACCGCAGTTTTTTCTTACGAAGCGTTGCACAAGGGCGTAAATGAGCATTATGATGAAGTTGACCTTTGACCTTTTGGATATAAAATGTCATCACTTCATCTTTTTATCCTGTTAGACATTTCTGTTAAATTGTTTCATAATTAGTGAATTAATCTTGAGTTATGATCAAAAACATGTTTGTGAGGTCACACTGACCTTGACCTTCGACTTTTGACCACCAAAATCTAATCAGTTCATCCTTGAGTCAAGTGAATGTTTGTATCAAATTTTAAGAAATTCCATCAAGGAGTTACTAAGATATAATGTCCACAAGAATGGGATGGATGGACAAACAATCTGGAAGAATATGGCTCCGGCTCTAACTGTCGCCGGTGCAGAGGAAAAAAAAAAAAAACCCTAAAAAACAACATGGGAACAGGATGTGATAGGAGTCATTCTTCCGGGACTGGACAAGACAGGAGTGAATATTCACCTCTGTGTTCCGTCTAGTTTGCATTAGTGTCTCAGCAGTGTCTGTTTTGTGGATCTTTTATGCCCATGTCAATATGAATGTATGATGCCTGTGCATGTTCATTTTTCACAGATTTGTTTGCTGACTGTGTTTTCTGTTGGTTTTCATGGAGCTTGGATAGTTTTCACTGAGGAGCCTGTAAGTATGTGTGTTTCCACCATGACTGCTCAGCTGACAGCAGGAACATCATCAAACAGACATAGAGTTGCAGTGAGCGTGCACCATATTCGACACACCAAATTCTGTTTGGAGAGTGTGTGTGTGTGTGTGTGTGTGTGTGTGTGTGTTTCTGTGTGTGTGCATGTTAAGTGTTCAGGCTTACCTTTACACCTGAATGCTTCAGAAGGTTACACAAATATTCAATTCAAACAAACAAATTATAATGAATATACATTCTGTCTGTTTTCAACCCAGTGAAGCTTTAACAAGCACAAAGTGTGTCAAGCTCCCTGTTATCGTCCCATGATTTCATTGGTTAGTCATGTAGCTCTGAACCCTGCCATTAACTGGAAGAGAGCCTGTATGTGGGAGGTCAGCCGAGCCAGCAACTAAAGGACCACTTGGAGAGTTTGGGTCCCTCCAGATTGGC